GGAGTCTACTAGCAGGGCTGCATCTGTTCTTGTTGTCACCTCCATCAGAAGTCTACTAGCAGGGCTGCATCTGTTCTTGTTGTCATCTCCAGCAGGAGTCTACTAGCAGTGCTGCATCTGTTCTTGTTGTCACCTCCAGCAGGAGTCTACTAGCAGGGCTGCATTTGTTCTTGTTGTCACCTCCACCAGGGGTCTGCTAGCAGTGCTGCATCTTTTCTAGTTGTCACCTCTAGCAGGAGTCTACTAGCAGGGCTGCATCTGTTCTTGTTGTCATCTCCAGCAGGAGTCTGCTAGCAGTGCTGCATCTGTTCTTGTTGTCACCTCCATCAGGAGTCTACTAGCAGGGCTGCATCTGTTCTTGTTGTCATCTCCAGCAGGAGTCTGCTAGCAGTGCTGCATCTGTTCTTGTTGTCATCTCCAGCAGGAGTCTAGTAGCAGGGCTGCATCTGTTCTTGTTGTCACCTCCATCAGAAGTCTGCTAGCAGGGATGCATCTGTTCTTGTTGTCACCTCCAGCAGGAGTCTGCTAGCAGGGCTGCATCTGTTCTTGTTGTCACCTCCACCAGGGGTCTGCTAGCAGTGCTGCATCTTTTCTAGTTGTCACCTCTAGCAGGAGTCTACTAGCAGGGCTGCATCTGTTCTTGTTGTCACCTCCATCAGGAGTCTACTAGCAGGGCTGCATCTGTTCTTGTTGTCATCTGCAGCAGGAGTCTACTAGCAGGGCTGCATCTGTTCTTGTTGTCACCTCCAGCAGGAGTCTACTAGCAGGGCTGCATCTGTTCTTGTTGTCACCTCCATCAGAAGTCTACTAGCAGGGCTGCATCTGTTCTTGTTGTCACCTCCAGCAGGAGTCTACTACCAGGGCTGTATCTGTTCTTGTTGTCACCTCCAGCAGGAGTCTGCTAGCAGTGCTGCATCTTTTCTAGTTGCCACCTCTAGCAGGAGTCTACTAGCAGGGCTGCATCTGTTCTTGTTGTCACCTCCAGCAGGAGTCTACTAGCAGGGCTGCATCTGTTCTTGTTGTCACCTCCAGCAGGAGTCTACTAGCAGGGCTGCGTCTGTTCTTGTTGTCACCTCCAGCAGGAGTCTACTAGCAGGGCTGCATCTGTTCTTGTTGTCACCTCCAGCAGGAGTCTACTAGCAGGGCTGCATCTGTTCTTGTTGTCACCTCCAGCAGGAGTCTACTAGCAGGGCTGCATCTGTTCTTGTTGTCACCTCCAGCAGGAGTCTACTAGCAGGGCTGCATCTGTTCTTGTTGTCACCTCCAGCAGGAGTCTACTACCAGGGTTGCATCTGCTCTTGTTGTCACCTCCCAAGTTAATTAAGAACGCTAACAACTTTGTTGAGTTAGGTACAAGAATTAACAACTGAGAGTCTACACTGCGTGATGAATGGTTTGAAAAACCGACAAGTTGAAGATTGAGACACTTATGCAGCATATGGGAATCTTTATTCAGGAAACGTTTCGCCACACAGTGGCTTCATCAGTCCAATACAAAGAGGAAGGCGTAAGGAGAGGAGGAGAATGAGGTAATCAGTCCCTCAACCTGGAGTCGATGTGTTCAGTCCATCAATCTTGTAGAATGTACAGCATAGAGCCGTAGACGTGGCTTATATACTGTAGTGAGGTGACGTGAAGCAGATGGAGGCGGGGTCATAGTGGTAACATCCACTAATCGAAGTATGTCTTCGTCCAAAGATTGAACAAGTGTTGAAGAGTACTTTGTAACAAGATCCCATGATGCTGCAGTGCCTGACAGTTGTGATGAATGGTTTGAAAAACCGACAAGTTGAAGATTGAGACACTTATGCAGCATATGGGAATCTTTATTCAGGAAACGTTTCGCCACACAGTGGCTTCATCAGTCCAATACACTGCAAACTGAATTGTTGCCATCCTAATGGCGCTAAAGCTAATTTATAACACTGAGCTTGACACCTTGATCAATACTAACTCTGTGTCATCACTGAAGGCTCCTAACTCACATAGTGAATTATCATACATTTTTTTCTGGATTCCATCACACGCTGAATTACTCCTTCGTGATAAAGTTGATAAGTTAGCCAAAGTTAGCCAAGGAAAATACCACGAAGGAAAATGATGAATATATATTTACGTCTAGCATTAGAAATAATATTAGGAGAGAAGTAAATAGTGAATCTGAAAGTCGTAGGAATGCAGTTAGGAAGCCTGAGTAGATCTATCACCGTCTAGATAAGTAGATAAGTGCGTTATGGAGTAACTTGCAGTGTGAACACTGACTGATGTTGTAGTAGCCAGACTTAGACTTAGTTACAAGTACTTCTGACTGTGTGATGTTGTAGTAGCCAGACTTAAGCTTAATTACAAGCACTTCTGACAGTGTGATGTTGTAGTAGCTAGATTTAGGCTTAGTTACAAGTATTTCTGGCAGATGATGGTTAAACTAAATGCAAAGTATATGGTCAGCCTTATGGTCACTATCTTAAACACTATGTGCTTCACTATACACCTACTGAGGAATGTGTAGGTAAACATGGGGCGCCATCTTTCTCTTCCAGTTCCTTAGCGTGGCCATCCAGAGAGGGAACGTCTGCTGCTTCTTGGCTTCCCCACTAGCGTCTGAGGAACCAGAGAAACTCCAAAGCTTAAATTAAGTTTCTGTATATTTTAAAATTGAGTGTATAAAGTCCTTAACAAAACTGTTTATAAATATTTAAAAAAATGTGTGTATGTGTGTGTATTCACCTATTTGTGGATGAAGGGGTCGATTTACAGCTCCTGGCCCCGCCTCTTTTTTTGGTCGCTCCTAGATCCACTCTCTTCCTTCTCTAAGAGCTTTATCGTGTATGTGTGTGTGTGTGTTTGTGTGTGTGTGTGTGTGTGTGTGTGTGTGTGTGTGTGTGTGTGTGTGTGTGTGTGTGTGTGTGTGTGTGTATGTGTGTGTGTAAGCGTATCCATATACCTACTAAAACACTGTAGTATACATACATATACACAACACATGTATACATCTTGTCTCTCACCTTCAACACAACACCTCATCTCTACTGTACAATCAGTTACATCACTTCTGCCGCTCAGATTAACGATAACAACCTCAGGTATGGGCCGCCAGCCTCATCATTACATTAAATAATGTGCCGCCTGACGAAGAAAAGCTATATAAAAGATTCAAACTGCCCTCTCCCGAAGGGATTTTCCCAGCCACTGAACACACACAAAAGCATCGAGGGGAAACAAATGAGCATCGCGGCTCTGCCCAGCAAAGATTCTTCTTCAGAAACATCAACCATCTTTCGTTAAACCCATTCTTCTTCTTGTGATTCTTGACGATGACCTGAGGTTGTTGAGAGATGCTTAGACAGCATCAACTACTCAGATGGTCGATGTAAACAACAGGTCCGGAGGTGCACAGAGGCAGGAAACTTGATCTGCCGAGAGTACCAGGAGAATCGGATACATTTCGTAATCCCTCCATTATGGGATCAGAACCATTATCTCATCAAGGAGAGATTGTCGTCTGTTTTACATCTGGGAGTAGCTTACCCACTGGGTAGCGGCCACTGCTTATACTTCACCGTGGCGGCTCATACTTGGGAAATATATCGTGTACTTGGAATGTAATTTGATTATTTCTGTCTGTTGAAATATATAATGTTTTCTTAGCAATTGAATCCTTGTAAAAGTTAGAACATTTCACACATACACACACACACACACACACACACACACACACACACACACACACACACACACACACACACACACACACACACACACACACACACACACACACTTTTTGTGGACAGAGACAGGATGTTCCAGAGATGGGACAGAAACAAGGGGTCACAATTGGAAGCTGAAGACTCAGATGAGTCAAAGGGATGTTAGGAAGTATTTCTTCAGTCATAGAGTAGTTAGGAAGTGGAATAGTCTGGCAAGCGATGTAGTGGAGGAAGGAACTATACATAGTTTTAAGACGAGGTATGATAAAGCTCATGGAGCAGGGGGAGAGAGGACCTAGTAGCGGTCGGTGAAGAGGCGGGGCCAGGAGCTGAGTCTCGACCCCTACAACCACAATTAGGCGAGTACGCACACACGCCCATACACACACACACACACACACACACACACACACACACACACACACACACACACACACACACACACACACACAAACAAAAACACACACACACACAAGATCGAAGTATCAACATCCATTTCTTGTCTCTTCAAAACACAAAGTTCAAAGTGATTTACAAGTGTAACATCGCACTTATTACCTAACTACCCAGACCAATTTGTCCCCAGGTGAGAGGTGGTGCAGAATAATAGCAACAGCCACAAGGGATACTTGTCGTGGCTACAACAACAAGTCAATAACTCGCTCACGCCAGGCACTTAGCAGCGACCAGGGAACCCTCTCTGCTACATTACTGAACAAGGCCAACATTAAGGACACCAATTGCATTATTAATTACATGGTAGATGGTTACGTTATATTTTGGTGCTGAATTACACTGTGTAATTGTTAATTTATGAGTGTATGCGGTTCCTTGAGGAGGTTACACAACCAGAGCAATGGAGACTGAACCTTATGTGCGAGTTATTTGTGTGTTGTTCCAGTCGCAATTGTGCCATTTTGTTCTTTCTTGAGGAGCTTCATTGAGGGAATGAGCGGCGGTGAAATATTGGAAAGACTGGGACTAGAGTACGCTACCGTCGTTCACCCATCCCCAGGATGCCACCCACAACAGTCGACGAAATCCCTGGTACCTGTTTTCTCCTAAGTGAACAGAGGCAGAAGTTGTAAGGAGAGTCAGTCGCACGTCTCGACCCGGACTGGAACTTGAACACAGGCATCTTCTGTTGTGACCGGAGTGCTCTTCTACTGATTTATTCCTGGAAATTAATCTTAATTTTCCACAGCGAGCGAGGACGTGGCACCGCCAAGGAGACAGTGCCAGTGTCACGTGACTTAACTCATAAAAAAATACAATAAATTTATAACTATACAGAATGTTGCTGATGGTGTTTAAATTCGTGGTGGATGGAGGAAACGTCAAGTTATTGAAGAAGGTCAGTCATAACACCACCTCCGTCACCTCCATCGTTATCGAAGACATAACTTGGTTTAAAAGGGATAATTCCAGCCTTGAGGAGGCTGTAGGAAGCCACTCTTTCCCTTGTAGAGGCTGTAATACAGTGTACGTAGGTGAGACTGCTAAGTATTTGCCGTCACACGTATAGGAAGACATTGACACCGCTGCACCAGTGACATCGACAGGGCCAGAGTGTTACTCTACATCACATGGGCTGGCCCAAGACTACCTTGGTTGTCTGAGAAAGGGACAGAAACAGAAGAAAATGCCTGGAACCAGCTCTTATTCACACCAGACATCATCACCCAGGGTGAGTGATGTTTCCAGTTAATGTGACATGTTTGTCATGTTTCTCAACATATATTACTATCGTCATCTCACAGTCAAGTGCAGTCCTCACGTCTTCACGTCACTTGATCTTCCCACTATATACACCTATGAATAAACTGAGACGAGGGGCTCGAACTGCGGTTCGAAAATTGACAGTCCGAAACTCTACTGTCTCGGCCAAACAGGCTTCTAATAGGAATGAATCGTAACTATCACTTACTGTATTATGTTATGTCAGAGGCACCAACTGTTACCCAACTGAACTCCCTCCTTCAGCCCCAGGCTGAAGGAGGGAGAGTTCAAGCCAACAGCCTTTTAATACCACACACGCCTCACACACTGCACGGAAAATAAGTGTACTTTTCCCATCGTTTATATCTCTGAATGGTAACACAAATATTAATGAAAATGGACTGACGATTGAATGACTCTCAGCAACAGCTGGACCAGTGATTCTGGTTACACAGGTTTGTGTGTATTCACCTATTTATGGTTGCAGGGGTCCAGACACAGCTCCTGGCCCCGCCTCTTCACTGATCGCTACTAGGTCCTCTGTTTCCCTGCTCTGTGAGCTTTATCATACCTCGTCTTAAAACTATGTATGGTTCCTGCCTTCACTACGTCATTTGCTAGATTATTCCACTTCCCGACAACTCTGTGAGTAAAGAAATACTTCCTAACATCTCTTTGACTCATCTGAGTCTTCAGCTTCCAATTGTGACCCCTTGTTTCTGTGTGTGTGTGTGTGTGTGTGTGTGTGTGTGTGTGTGTGTGTGTGTGTGTGTGTGTGTGTCTAGACACACACACACACACACACACACAAAAGAGGTGTGTGCAGGGTGGTTAACTCATATAACAGACTGAACCAGTATATGACTGACAAAGGGCTGGATTAAAGATCCTCCAAGCATGGATCAGTAGTCCTTCTACAGTATTCCTCCATTATTACGCTCTCATAGCAGGCCATAGGTCATCTTGTGTGTGGAGGCTGCGCTCGGGCGGAATGACTCTGGCCTGAAAATCAGAAATCACAAATCTACCAGAGATCTGAATGACGGTATTGATAGTGTGAGCATAGATAAGAACATTTAGATACGGCTCAGAATATTTATTACAGAATACTCCTCTCCACCACTGTTTCCCTCATTCCTTCTTCAGAAGAAGCCAGTCACTCCTTTCTCACTGGTTGACACTCTCATGCAAATTCTAGTGTCGTCTGTAAATGAGGATACGGTGCTATAATTTACATCTCTCTGTTAGATATAAAGATAAAAAGGACGGGAGCGAGTACAGTGCGTTGAGGAACATTTAGGAGTAGCGGAGGCTCGACCCTCCGTCTGGTAACATTCAAGGCAGAAGCCTGGCTCTTGTAGCCGGGAAACTGGAAAACAAAAAAATGCAACCATACTGCTACATTAGCTTTGCTAGGTCTATAACCAATCTGCTGCACATAGGTCTACCTGTTATACGTAGGTCTATGGCTTGTCTACCTCACATGGGTCACTATAACTGTAGTCCATCTGTATTTCAACAACAGAAATACCTTAGGTTAGGTAAGATTTGTCAGGAAACAGGACAAGCGTTTCCTGACGCTGGTGCTTTTGGTCATGTGACCGAGGCCTTCCACTGGCTTACCCCTCCACCCCCTTTAAAAATAATGGTCATATATACATACATTTATCTTAGGCATACATTAATCCCCAAATATGTATTATAACAAGCCTTAAGTGTATATGTACCGAGATATACACACCTCTCGGTGTATATACACTAAGATATATATACACACGTGTCAGCAGCAGGTGTGTATTATACCATATACATCACTAAACCAAAAAAAAAAAGAAAAAAATCGGAGCCTTAAAAAACTCTCCGAGGTCAAAAATTAATTTCCTTCTTTATATACGAAATATCAATAAATGTAAATGTAACATTAAAAATTAAATCATGACAATAAAAATGTAATTAATTCAGAATTATCTTTCCATTTTACGGCTGATAATGTAAATCTACCTCACCGTAATGACTTGTTAAAAGGGTCGTTAACAATTTTCAGTTTGCATAAATTAATGTTGTTGGGAGATGAATTATCTCCAGCCTGACGTTCTTCACTCTTCTACCACGCAGTAATTAGGTAACTTAGTAAGTAGGTAAGTAGATAAGTATGTAAAAGAGTAAGTAGGTAAGTGGGTAGGTAAGAAAGTAAGTAGGTAAGTAGGTAGGTAAGAAAGTAAGTAGGTAGGTAAGAAAGTAAGTAGGTAAGTAGGTAGGTAAGAAAGTAAGTAGGTAGGTAAGAAAGTAAGTAGGTAAGTAGGTAGGTAAGAAAGTAAGTAGGTAGGTAAGAAAGTAAGTAGGTAAGTAGGTAGGTAAGAAAGTAAGTAGGTAGGTAAGAAAGTAAGTAGGTAAGTGGATAGGTAAAAAAGTAAGTAGGTAAGTAGGTAGGTAAGAAAGTAAGTAGGTAAGTAGGTAGGTAAGAAAGTAAGTAGGTAAGTTGGTAGGTAAGAAAGTGAGTAGGTAACTAAGTAGGTAGGTAAGTAGGTAGGTAAGAAAGTAAGTAGGTAAGTAGGTAGGTAAGTATGTAAGTAGGTATGGGAGTAAGTATGTAAGTAGGTATGGGAGTATGTAAGTAGGTATGGGAGTAAGTAAGTAGGTATGGGAGTAAGTATGTAAGTAGGTATGGGAGTATGTAAGTAGGTATGAGAGAAGGATGTAAGTAGATAAGTAGGTAAGTATGTGAGTAAGTAGGTAAGTAAGTGTATTCAGGTACAGATACACATAAATACAGCTACACGAATTATCATACAGAAGTAACATAGTATAAACTACCCACCAGAAAAATAACCAAAATAGTCAGACAAAGTGATTTATTTCCCCCTGGAGTCCTTCAGAGCCCATTATTTTTTTATTTTAACCATCATCTCCATCAAGGTACTATCTGAAAACGCTTATTACTGCAGGACCAGTTTATTAATTGTGCTAATGGGGTGTGGAGGTTGTTGTACACAGCGTGGCGACTGTGGTGCGAAACCTGAAGGAACTCTGTCGAGACTCCGCCCTGTGTATGTACTATTGGCCGGCCACTGACTCTGTGGGAGGAGTTAGCCCTCCCAAAATAAGCTAGTGTTACAGCATGTTTTCAGCCCTTTTCGGGCGGTTTTTGCCCATGTTGTGTCGGTATTCTAAGACTTTATGCTTCCTTATGCTCCCTTGGGGCGACGTAATCGGAAATTGTCTAGGGAAGGTGAGTTTTCGACAGGGAATTAAGGAAGAGTGTAAGTGCGCATGCTTGTATTACAGCACATCTCTGACACGTTTTGAGTCCCGTTAGCCAATCACTGGACGCACGTGCGGAGGGGGGGAGGGTTCCGCATCGCTGTTATGGAACATCCGCTGGGAGAACCTACTTCCGCACTGGTGATCCTAGTGCGAAAGTAGCGTGTCTGGGACGTCCGGGTATCGCCTTGTTGCCCCGGGTGTGGGCGAGACAGCAGCTACTGGGTGAATGAGGAACTGGAAGCCACACCAGTAGCGCCCCGGGGGTCCTCTTGCAACCAACTTCACGGCTCTCTTTGCCCCAGCTTCACCTCCTTTGCTTTATTCTTTTTCCCCGGTCTGTGTCTCCGCTTCCCTCCACGACTGAGGTTCTTTTGGACAGTTCCATCGTCCTGTCTTATCTTGGATGATGCTGTGAGAGAGAGGCCAGAAACGAAGCCTTCAGAACGAGCCTCAAAACTCATCTTTCGACACATTATCCAGGGTAAATAAATAAACTGATGTGCTGACTAACATCCTGATGTGCAAGTCAGGTAACATGAGGTGAAGTGTTGACACCGTGTGTGTATATGCGTGTGTAACGTAGGGATTTAGTGATGTCGCGGTGGTAAACAGTGATGGTTCTGTGAGCATCAACCACCTCCTTGAAGGACGCCCAAGGACTCTCAATGACCTGCTTTCGACGACTCGGTGATTCGAGCTTTTGACCGCCATGTCTCGCTCCTTCCTGGTGGATTCTCTCATCTCCCCGCGGGCGCCTGACAGCAGCAGGCGTGGTCCACGCCCATACAGCCCGCCCACCACCGCCCACCTACCCGCCCTCTTGCCAATTCACCCCTGCCCGCCGGGTAAACACAGCGATGTGTTATCCCTCTACTCCTGCCGAGCCTGCGTGCCTATCCCGCCCGCCCTCAAACAAGCCATGGTGCCCACCTTCTCCACATTTACGCCCACGCTGGGATCCAGCTTTCCACACACGCCCGCTAGCCTGCCCCACGCCCCTGTTCTACGACCAGTGCCAGTCTCCCTGCCCATGACCATGCCTCATATGTACGCTCCTCTGTACGCCCCTAGCACGCCCACACGCCCACAGATTAACACCACCCACACTCCCCCAGAGAAAAAGTCCCCAGTTCAAGGTGAGAGATTTAATGATACATATATATAAAATTATATATATAAAATATATATATATATTATATATATAATATATAATTATTTTTTTTTTTTAATTTTATTATATATTTATTATATTATTATAATTATATTATTATTATATATTTTTATATATATATTATTATATTTTATTATTATTGTTATTATTATATACAGTATATGAAATAATATAATATTAAAATAATTGATTATTTTCTTTAATTTATGAAAATTATTATGGAATTTATTTTACTGCACATCACTAATTATTCACTAGCTATCACTATCACTATCATATACCATCATTAGCTATCATTACCTCCCCTAACCATTATTAGTTATTATTACCATCACCAGCTCCCTCATGTAATAACATAACCAATAAAATACATCAATGTAATCTGACCATCAACTTAATTAAACTAATTATAGGAATCACTGCTTTCCCCTCACCTAGCACCATCACCTAGCACACATCACCTAGCACCATCACCTAGCACCATCACCTAGCACCATCACCTAGCACCATCACCTGCACATCACAGCCCATCACCTACACCATCACCTAGCACCATCACCTACCACCATCACCTAGCCCCATCACCTACCACCATCACCTAGCACCACCACCTAGCACCATCACCTACCACCATCACCTAGCGCCATCCCCCTAGCACCATCACCTAGCACCATCACCTAGCACCATCACCTAGCACCATCACCTAGCACCATCACCTACCACCATCACCTAGCACCATCACCTAGCACCATCACCTAGCACCATCACCTAGCACCATCACCTAGCACCATCACCTATGCACCATCACCTAGCACCATCACCTAGCACCATCACCTAGCATCATCACCTAGCACCATCACCTACACATCACTAGCACCATCACCTACCACCATCACCTACACCATCACCTAGCACCATCACCTACCACCATCACCTAGCACCATCACCTAGCACCATCACCTAGCACCATCACCTACACCATCACCTTGCACCATCACTAGCACCATCACCTACACCATCACCTACCCATCACCTAGCACATCACTAGCACCATCACCTAGCACCATCACCTAGCACCATCACCTACACCATCACCTACACCATCACCTACACATCACTAGCACCATCACCTAGCACCATCACCTACACCATCACCTAGCACCATCACCTACCACCATCACCTACCACCATCACCTACCACCATCACCTACCACCATCACCTACCACCATCACCTAGCACCATCACCTAGCACCATCACCTACCACCATCACCTTAGCACCATCACCTACACCATCACCTAGCACCATCACCTAGCACCATCACCTACACCATCACCTACCACCATCACCTAGCACCATCACCTAGCACCATCACCTACCACCATCACCTACCACCATCACCTACCACCATCACCTACCACCATCACCTAGCACCATCACTACCACCATCACCTAGCACATCACCTAGCACCATCACCTACACCATCACCTACACCACATCACCTAGCACACATCACCTACCACCATCACCTAGCACCATCACCTACACCATCACTACCACCATCACCTACTACACCATCACCTAGCACCATCACCTACCACCATCACCAGCACCATCACCTACCACCATCAACCTACCACCATCACCTACACCATCACCTAGCACCATCACTACACCATCACCTAGCACCATCACCTATCCACACATCACTACCACCATCACTACCACCATCACCTACACCATCACCTACCACCATCACCTACCACCATCACCTACACCATCACCTACCACCATCACCTACAACCATCACCTACACCATCACCTACACCATCACCTACCACCATCACCTACCACCATCACCTACCACCATCACCTACCACCATCACCTACCACCATCACTACCACCATCACCTACCACCATCACCTACACCATCACCTACCACCATCACTATCCACCATCATTACTACACCATCACCTACCACCATCACCTACCACCACCACCTACCACCATCAACTACCACCATCACAAATACCTACCACCACTACACCATCACCTGCACCATCACCTAGCACATCACCTAGCACCATCACCTAGCACCTTTCACCTAGACCATCACCTAGCACCTCACCTACACCATCACCTAGCACCATCACCTACCACCAATCACCTAGCACCATCACTAGCCCATCACCTACCACTCACCTACACCTCACCTACCACCATCACCTAACACATCACTAGCACCATCACCTACACCATCACTAACCATCACCTAGCACCATCACCTACCACCATCACCTACACCATCACTACCACCATCCAGCATCACAGCACCATCACCTACCACCATCACCTAGCCCATCACCTAGCACCATCACCTACACCATCGCCTACCACATCACTAGCACCACACCAGCACCATCACCAGACCTCACCTACCCATCACCTACACATCACCTACCACCATCACCTAGCACCATCACCTACCACCACGCCTACCACCATCACCAGCACCATCACCTACCCATCGTCTACCACCATCACTACCACCATCACCTACCACCATCATCTACCACCATCACTACCACCATCCCCTACCACCATCCCCTTCCACCATCACCATCACCTACCACCATCACCTACCACCATCACCTACCACCATCATCTACCACCATCACTACCACCATCACCTACCACCATCACCTTCCACCATCACCAATACCTACCACCATCACTTACCACCATCACCTACCACCATCCTCTTCCACCATCACCGTCACCTACTACCATCACCTACCACCATCATCTACCACCATCATCTACCACCATCACTACCACCATCACCTACCACCATAACCTTCCACCATCACCAATACCATTCCTGTTCGCGGTGTTTCGTGACTGATGTTCCGTTTCTGGTGTTCCTTTCTTGATGCTGTGTTCCTGGTGTTCCATACTTGATGTACTATTCCCAGGATTATTCATTACCTAACGTTCCGTTCCTGGTGTTCCTCGTTTAATGATCCGTTCAGAGTGTTCAGCACTTGTTCCTGGTGTTCGGTCGCTGCCAATGTTGCTACAACAACTCTGGCTGATCCACATCTTCCTTGTATTAACTCGTAGATGCATTAATAATATTCATTACCAACACCTTGATCCGAAATCACAAGTGCAACACCTGTGTGTTGTATTTGTGTGCAACACACAGGTGTTGCACTTGTGTGCTGAGTGGAACAGACCTGCTGTCAACTCAAAAAGGTGACTACAGGTATATCTCTCAATGTATATACACTACTAGATACACCTCAGTGTATATACACTACGATACACCTCGGTGTATATACACTACTAGATACACCTCAGTGTATATACAGTACGATACACCTCAGTGTATATACACTACGAGATACACCTCGGTGTATATACAGTACGAGACAGGTGCTCGTACATAGCTGGGGTCTGACTGTGGTTAAAGTACTGTGTACTGTGATGCAGTAGAGTGCGCTGGTTCGAATCCTGCTGTAGACTGAGAATTAATGTTTATAAATAATTTCGCCCGTTTGCGAATTGTTTAAGCATATCTCAGTGTATATATCCTACCGTTAATCACAATCACTTCCCCTAACAACCATCGTTAACCACTACTACTTCCCCTGAAACCACCATTAACCACAACCTCTTCCCTAACAACCACCATTAACCATTTTTACCTCACCACTTCTATTAACAACTAATTCTTTTCCACCACCACCATGATTAACCACTACCTCTCCCTCCACCACCACTACTACAGGAGGGACACGCCCTCGCTCTGAGTCTCCTACAGATGACATTCCCTCCTGCAAGAGGATTCGCACAGCCTTCACCTCGACGCAGCTGCTGGAGTTAGAGAGAGAGTTCTCCTCCAATATGTATCTCAGCCGCCTCCGTAGGATAGAGATTGCAACCTATCTCAACCTCTCTGAGAAGCAGGTGGGTGATGGAATGTCTTGATAGAAGTACATAGGAGTACATGGTATGAAGAGTTGGCAGAGGACTTGAGAGTCCATGGTGAGGCTGTCTGTTGAGAACTGTCAGCTTCTTCGTGCGTGTAAGCCAAGGATAGAGAAAGGTTGCAGGAAGGCGGCATTGTGTGTGTATAATATATATATATATATATATATATATATATATAATATATATATATATATATATATATATATATGTATATACTTATACTTGGGTATAATGAATATACAGTAAATGAAAAAGGAAATAGCATTATCAGGGTAGACTATAGTTAAAAAAACTGTTAGAAATACAGTTAATAATAATTTAGAAATAGATTATATTCTATGTCTATCGTGTTCTTGTAAGGCAGATTTATTAACATGTTCAGGACAATGCTGTTCTTTTTTTTTCTCTTTTTAGGTGAGGCGGGAAAATGTTTGGTCATCTATTGTTTACATTTTGGTTTTCTTCTTCAGGTGAAAATCTGGTTTCAAAACCGGCGAGTGAAGTATAAGAAGGAGGAAGGAGGACACTCCAGGGAGAAGTGTTCCTGTTTGAGGACCTGCACTTCGTCCAGGGCCCGTCCCAAGGGCCTGCAGGGCCCCCAGGGCTGTGAAGGCCGCCCGGACTGCGAGGGCCCCCACGACTCCACCGAAGAGTCACTGCACCAGGAGGATCAAGTTGCTCCTGGAGCCTTCAACGACCCCAACCACAAAACTGACAACGACTGTGATAACGACGACCCTCCCAAACACCACCACCATCCCCACCACAACCGCCACCATCCCCACCACCACAACCACCACCATCTACCACCCCAGCGTCAGGACTTACCAGGAAGTCTCCTTCAGGAAGCCTTTCATACCCTGGAAACCACCAGAGCAGACCTAAGGTCCTCTGACCAGACGAAGCCAAGTAGTGACCACATGAGGTCCTCTAGCAGAGACCAGGTGAGAGACCAGGTGAGAGACCAGGTGAGAGACCAGGTGAGAGACCCAGTGAGGGTCTCAAACACAGACCAGTCGGGGTCTTGGAATAAAAAGTCCGATCTTGAATCTGACTGCGACAGAGACAGCGGTGATAATATTGACGTGGTTTGAAATGCTTTATTTTGGCTCAAGTAATAAAAACACAAAGTCATGAATTATCAAGGAAATTATTATTATTACATTTATTATTATTATTATTATTATTATTATTATTATTATTATTATTATTATTATTATTATTATTATTATTATTATTAATTATTAGTATTATTATTAAAGTGCAAAACGGCACAATACCGTGACTGGAACAGTACACAAATAATCCGCACACAGGAGAGAGGAGCTGACCACAACGTTTCTCTCCCGCTTGCTCCCTCACCTTCGTGTGTTAGTGTGACTAGTCAGTGGTCCAAGTTGGACCGAAACGTCGTCATGAGCTTCTTTTCTCCTATGTGCGGGTTATTTATGTATTATTATTATTATTATTATTATTATTATTATTATTATTATTATTATTATTATTATTATTATTATTACAATTTTTTATCATTAATAATTATTATTACATTATGATTATTAATTACTATTAATATATTATTATTATTATAATTTGCTAAGCAACAGTAAAAATTAAAATCCCTGTTTAACTATAAGACGCCTAACCCACACGGGTTTACCGCTTTCCTGTCAATATAATCCCCAAATACTTCTCAAGGGTTCACAGCAGAGTTTTCTAATGGCGGTCTAGCATCAAGCCGAAAAAAACATGGGCTTTTCGCGTTCATCTTCAGTCAGTTGGTTCCTGGAACTGGAGTCACTGTCACAGTTCCGTGGACCGGAAGGAACAGGTGAAATGATCTTTCTCATTTATCTGGGCGTTTCTCAACCAGGTGTGTCTCATTCGTGGGTTGATATTACGGAATCAAGGCTATGTTTGTTGGTATGATGAATGGACCAGGGGAAGGGGGACTGTATGATGCTTGGGTCCAGGTCCAGGATAGGTCCACGTCCAGGATAGGTCCAGGTCCAGGATAGGTCCAGGTCCAGAATAGGTCCAGGTCCAGGATAGGCCCTGGTCCAGGATAGGCCCAGGTCCAGGATAGGTCCAGATCCAGGATAGGTCCAGGTCCAGGATAGGTCCAGGTCCAGGATAGGTTCAGGTCCAGGATAGGTTCAGATCCAGGATAGGTCCAGGTCCAGGATACGTTCAGGCCCAGGATACGTCCAGGTCCAGGATAGGCCAGGTTCCAGGATACGTCCAGGTCCAACAAGACCAGAAACACTGTTTAATACCAAGTCATTTTTCATTACTGATCTATGGGTTAGTTGCGAATTGTTCCAGCCAGGGTATTGTGACTTACTCTTCTAGATTAAGGTCACTTAGATACTTTCATTAACGTCCTGAGGAAGAGTTGAACGTGAGACCCTGGATAACTGGACAACTGGACAACTGGACCACTGAACCCTGCCGATTCCGTACTCGAAATCGGGTGTATTTCTACTGTTGGGTAATTGGGTTTGAAATCTTTGTGCTTTACGAGGGTCAATAAGGCTGCATGTCACCTATTCACCACCAGTCAGTATATATACACTGAGATATATGCATCTCTCAGTGTATATATCTCCTTCCAAATAATAATAATAATAATAATAATAATAATAATAATAATAATAATAATAAAATCAATAAAAGTTACATAACTAACCTCAATTTTGTCAAAAAATTGCCTTTTTCCAAGAATGCCTTTGCATCAGAGCCCCAGTGTTTATGCCTTAAGATTGATGTATATAATATATATTTTTCACATAGAGATGTATATTGTGTATATAGTTTGTTGTGTATGGTACTGTATCCCAAGGTTGGATGAGTAAATGGAGGGTTTTTTAAAGTCTATCTACTACACGGGGGCCATTAAGGTTGCAGGTCACCTGTTCACCACCAATCAAAAATACTTTAATACCTAAAATAGTGATTAATGTAAACTTTCAGTATATATACACACTGAGAGATATACACCTCTCAGTGTGTATGCCCTGTGTATCATCTGAAATTATGTGCCAGTGAGATTATAAATGCGTATGCATTTTTTTAGGTGTCCCCTTCGAGGAGGTTCCTTGATGCTGGTGAGGGGGCTCTTGATCCAAGGAATTACAGCTACCCTTCCCTGGATCAGGCCTGATTGCCTCTCATTTCCCTAAACGTTTCCCCAAGAAAATAATAATAATATTGATTTTAATACCATAATTTTTCCCGTATTTCGTTCCTTGTTTACATTCATAGAAAACGGGATTTTTCCCTAAATTCTTCTCCAAAAAAGTCCCACAAAAAAAAAAAAAAAAAATTCTCGCTTCCCAATATAGAAAAATAAATCAATAAAGATTGCAATGAACATTTTAATCTCACTTTATGAGATTAATCTCACCTTTCTCACACCTCATCGAGACTGAGCCATGAGAAACAGTCACTCTAACGATGTTTCCTTCACTGAAAAGTTTGTTATATTGTGAAATATATCGATATATAATGAAATACTGAGTGTTCATGACATGCACAGTGCCTGCAGTGTTCAAGCAGTGACGAGTGTCTGCAGTGTTCAAGCAGTGACGAGTGTCTGCAGTGTTCAAGCAGGTAACAGTGCCTCTAGTGTTTATAGATTGTCAGAGGCTCCGTCCAAGAGTTTTTGAGAGCAGTGAACAGTGCCTATAGCCTTTATGTAATGCCTGGATCCCCGTCCAAGACATTTTTAGCAGTGAACAGTACCTGTAACGCCTTTTTCAAACCTTTAAATTTGTCTACGGCCTTTCCACGGTATTTACAATGCCTCAAACCTTTGTAGTAGATATATAATACATCTACAGTGCCTCATACATCTACAGTGCCTCAAAAATTTGTAGAACATCTACATCAACAGTGCCTGTTTTCAGTGCCAGGAAGGTTCATACAGTGCCAGTAACGTTCAAACAGTACTAGCTTTTGTGTTTATATATATATATATATATATATATATATATATATATATATATATATATATATATATATATATATATATATATATTATATATATATATATATATATATATATATATATATATATATATATATATATATATATATATATATATATATATATATATATATATTTATATTTTTATATATACACGTTTTAATGGTGAATCTCACAGTGACGCAATGCTCTACGTTTAACTCACACTGACGCAGTTCTACGCGTCTAACTGACGCAGTACTTTGCGTCACTTGTCTTAGTATGTAGACAGACTTGTGGGATGATTTTCAACATTCCAAGTTAAATTCTTATGTAATTTTTTTGTAAATTGAGACAGTATTATAACAATAATTATTATTATTGTTATTATCACCATCAGGGGCAAAAATCACATTGAGATTAAAGGACAAAACATTGCCTAACAGAATCGCCATCTACAAAATATAAGCTCAGTAATGTTTACATTGTCCATGGCATCAACAGGGTTCAGATCCGCCAACCCGCCACACCTAATCCCACATCCAGGGATCCAATTCTCTATTTTTTGCCAGACTTGGCTATTGTGTACACTTTCCTTGTTTCGTTTATACTCCAGTATTTTGCGCCCATGTTGAATTCTAGTCAAGATTTTTTTGTGTTTTTTTAGGTGAATTCTCAGTATTTTAGGATTAAGGAAGTGCCCATGGCTTTATTTAGGCCTGGTAGGTCGATTTTTTTTTTTTGACTATTATGGACCTGGTGCCTCTGTCCGTGTGGCTCTTGTCAATAAAAGATGTGAAGTGCATTTGGTGCTATTTTTATCCACTAATTTACATTGTTATCCACTAATTTACACTGTTATCCAGTAATTTACATATATGTGTGTGTGTGTGTGTGTGTGTGTGTGTGTGTGTGTGTGTGTGTGTGTGTGTGTGTGTGTGTGTGTGTTGTGTGTGTTTTTGTGTTGTGTGGTGTGTGTGTGTGTGTGTGTGTGTGTGTGTGTATGTGTGTGTAAGTGTGTGTGTGTGTGTTGTGTGTATGTGTGTGTGTGTATGTGTGTGTAAGTGTGTGTATGTGTGTGCGTATGTGTGTGTGTGTGTGTATGTGTGTGTGTGGTATGTGTGTGTGTATGTGTGTGTAAGTGTGTGTGTGTGTGTTGTATGTGTGTGTGTGTGTGTAGTGTGTGATGTGTGTGTGTATGTGTGTGTGTGTGTGATATGTTGATGTGTATTGTGGGTATAAGATGATAATTATAGAATGGTAATTATAGAATGGTAATTATAGAATGGTAATTATAGAATGGTAATTATAGAATGGTAATTATAGATTGGTAATTATAGAATGGTAATTATAGAATGGTAATTATAGAATGGTAATTATAGATGGTAATTATAGAATGGTAATTATAGAATGGTAATTATAGAATGGTAATTATAGAATGGTTAATTATAGATTGGTAATTATAGAATGGTAATTATAGAATGGTAATTATAGAATGTTAATTATAATTGGTAATTATAGAATGGTAATTATAGAATGGTAATTAAAGAATAGTAATTATAGAATGGTAATTATAGAATGGTAATTATAGATTGGTAATTATAGAATGGTAATTATAGAATAGTAATTATAGAATGGTAATTATAGAATGGTAATTATAGAATGGTAATTATAGAATGGTAATTATAGAATAGTAATTATAGAATGGTAATTATAGAATGGCAATTATAGAATGGTAGATTATAATTTAAGATAAGGTGTATATTTATAAATGGTAATTAATATTATGGTAATTATAGAATAGGTATTATAGAATATGGTTGATTATAATTTTAAAGATACAGGTGATATATGGTTCTCAAGAACTACAGCTGTTATGTTATTTATAGCTATGTTAGGTGTGCTGTTTGTAGGAATACAGTCGGTTTTTCCAATGTATATTTATTGTTTGTGACTAAGAATGGTACGAGAAATTTCCATACAGTGTTACAAACATTTTTACATCAGAGTTCTCAGCGTTTTTCACTTGTGTTTAGTGTGACTCTCACACACCAGTGTCCAGCAGTAGTCTACCATCAGTCTTATAGTCAGGTGTGACTCTCACACACCAGTGTCCAGCAGTAGTCT